TGAGGCAGGGTTTCTCTGTGTAGACCTGGTGAACTAACACTTTTTTAAAGCACTGCTCTGCAAAAGGATCCTAAGAGGACAGAATGATGAGCTACATACCAGAAGACGCTTGTAAACCATGTAACCAACACATGACTAGCAAGCCTTCTAGAGCAAAGACAAAAAGATGGACGTACTATGTGGGTGTGGGGGGGGGGGGGGCACATGAAAAATTTCAACATCATTAGCTTTTAGGAAATTGTAAATTAAAACCACAGTGACATCTATTAAAATGATTAAAATAAGCTGGGCATGGTAGCACACGCCTGGAATCCCAGCACTTGAGAGGCTTATCCGAGGGACCACAAGTTTGAGGCCAGCCTGGACCACAAGGAGACCTTGTCAAATGCTGGCCAGTATGGTGGGGGACCCCCATTTCACTAGGTAGAGGGCCGACCAGCAGCTTGGCAGCTGCTTCAAAAACTCAGCAGAGACTTCCCTTGGCCCCCAATCCTTTGCACTCCTGGGGCATTTATCCCAGAGAAATAAGAGCAAGTTCACACAAATGCGGGTAAACAAATGCTCACAGCAGCTTTATTCATAGGAACTGCACGTTGGAAATAACCCAGACATCCTTCAAGAAGTGAGTGGTTACACAAATAGCGTTCCATTCGTCCATGGAGTCACTACGCTGCAACCAGAAGGAACGAACTGTCCTCACTTGAAGCCGCTTGAAATGACTGGAAAACCATGCTAAATGCTGGAGGAGGATCCCCAAAGATTACCAGCTTCCAAACTCCATTTAATACCTGAAATTCCTTTTTTAACGAATTTATTTTATTTGGGGTGTTCACTGTTAATCCCAGCACTAGGAAGACAGAGGCAGGCAGACCTCAGAATTTGAGGCCATCCTGGTCTACAAAGCAAGTTCTAGGACAGCCAGGGCTGCACAAAGAAACCCTGTCTCAAAACAAACAAACAAACACAAGAACTATATGTGTGTGCATGTGGCATGTGCCCACAGAAGCCAAAAGATCACATCAGACCCCCTGAAACTGGAGTTATAGACAATTGTGAGTTGTTCAAGGAGGGTGCCGGGAACCAAACTCCAGTTCTCTGCATGAGCAGCAAGTGCCTTCAAGTGCTGAGCCATCTCTTCAGACCCTCCCTTTTTTAAATATTCCGTTTATTTAGTGTGCTTGTACACACGTGTGTATGCCCGTGTGTCCACACACAGGTGTCATGGGACACAGGTGAAGGCCAGGTAACAACTCGGGGTAGCTGCTTCACTTCTGGGCATCAAACTCAAGTTGTCGGTCTTAGCAGCAAACACCTCTGCACGAGGAACCATCTTGCCGGCCCCCTAATATGTGATAGTGTTAAAGTGACGGAATTCCAGAAATGGAGAGCAGACTGTGGTTGCTAGGGCTTAAGGACAGGGTAAGGCTGAGGGAGCAGGTGAAGGTGGCTAGGAATGTTGTATTGTTGCGCAGGGCTGTTGTGCTGGGGAAAAAGCTTTAGATCTTGGCTGCAGTAGATCAATGCCTTACAACATTCTGCAAGATGTCCCAGAAGAAACTGGATAAGGGCTACTCTAGTTATTTCTGACGCTTGTGTGGGGATTTATAATTATCTCAGAATTAAAAGTTAAAGCTTTTAAAAGACACATAGGAGCTGAGCATATTGCTTACTGGGAGAGCATCTGCTCACTAGCACACATGAGGTCCTAGGTTCAATCTCTGGTACTCGTGTGTGTGTGTGTGTGTGTGTGTGTGTGTGTGTGTGTGTGTGTGTGTGTGATAAAAAATGCAACCCCTAACTTTGCATTGGATTTAACAGGCATAAATCTCATCAAAATGTTAAAACTCGCCAGGTGTGGTGGTGGTGGTGGTGGTGGTGGTGGTGGTGGTGGTGGTGGTGGTGCACACCTTTAATCCCAGCTCTTGGGATGAAGAGGCAGGCGGATCTCTGTGAGTTTGAGGCCAGTCTGGTCTGTCTACAGAGCTAGTTCCAAGACAGTCAGGGCTGTTCACAGAGAAACCCTGTCTCAAAAAAAAAAAAAAAAAAAAAGTTAAAACTCTGCTCTTCAAGACACCATTAAGAAAAGAAAAGGGGCCGGGCGGTGGTGGCGCACGCCTTTAATCCCAGCACTCGGGAGGCAGAGCCAGGCGGATCTCTGTGAGTTCGAGGCCAGCCTGGTCTCCAAAGCAAGTTCCAGGAAAGGCGCAAAGCTACACAGAGAAACCCTGTCTCGAAAAAGAAAAAAAAAAAAAAAAAGAAAAGAAAAGAAAAGAAAAGGGGCACATGACTCTGATCTCAGCAACTCGGGAGGTCAAGGCAGGAATATTTCAAATTCAAAGGGAGTCTGCCCAACATAGTGAGACCCTGTCTTTAAAATTTTAATACCTGGGGTGAGAGAGCTGGAGAGATGGCTCAGAGGTTAACAGCACCTGGTGCTCTTCCAGAGGACCCAGGTTCAATTCCCAGCACCCACGTAGCAGCTCACAACTGTCTGTAACTCCAGTTCCAGGGGATCTGATACCTTCACACAGACATGTATGCAGGCAAAACACTAATGCACATAAAATAAGAATAAATAAATCAGCCGGGCGGTGGTGGCGCACGCCTTTAATCCCAGCACTCGGGAGGCAGAGCCAGGCGGATCTCTGTGAGTTCGAGGCCAGCCTGGGCTACCAAGTGAGTTCCAGGAAAGGCGCAAAGCTACACAGAGAAACCCTGTCTCGAAAAACCAAAAAAAAAAAAAAAAAGAATAAATAAATCATTTTTTTTTTAAAAAGGAGTTCATACTGCTGTTGCAGAGGACCTGAATTCAGTTCTCAGCACCCACACCCACAAGTTCACAGCAGCCTACCCACAACACCCTCTTCTGGTCTCCCAGGGACTCTACGCTCATGAGGACATAACCCAAACTACCATATACACGTATAAACATTGTTTTTGAAACTTACAAAGAACAGGGGTTGGGAGTGTAGCCCAAACAGAACAGTTTGCCTGGCACGCACAGAACCCTGAGGGTTTGTACCCAGTACTTCATAAACAGGGTGTGATGGTGCATGCCTATAATCTTAGCACTCAGAAGGTGGAAGCAGGAGAATCACAAGTTCAAGGTCACCCTGGGCTACATACTGAGTTCCAAGGCAGCCTTGACTACAGGAGATTGTGTCTCAAAATATACATATAAATATGACTTACATAAAAAAGGAAAATGAAAAATCCAAAGAGTGGGGAGAACTGTATCTAGAGAGATAGTGTGTGTATATATAGATATATATATCTTATATACATATATATCTTTTACAATTCAATAAATAGAATTTAGTTAAAACCACAGTGAGATATGCTGCCTTCAGAACTACCAGCGTGGCTAAAATTAAAAGACTGACAGAGCCAAGTATTGCCACATACGTGGGCAACAGAACCACCACAGATTTCCACGTGGGGATGGAACGTGGTACAAGGCTTTCGGAAAACTGCCTGGCATCTGGAAACTTACCCAAGGCAATGAAAGCTATACACGCAGGAGAACTTGCACAAACATCTTTTCCTAACAACCTCCATCTGGAAACAACCCAATGCCCATCAGAGGACAAAAGGATAAATAAAGTGGCACAGCCATACTGTGGAATAAAAAGCAATGAACTATGGATGCACATAAAGACTTGGACCTCAAAAACAGCACACTGTACCCAAGGAGATGCACACACAACCTCCGCGGTGTGAACCCATTCACACCAAACTCTAATCTAAAATAACAGGAGGCCCATCCGTGGTTGCCTGGGACTAGGGGAGGAGGAGAGGGAGGGGACTGACTGCAGAGCAATAGTAGGGGGGTAGTTTGGGGGTGATGGAAATCTCATGGATCTTGACTATGGTGATGGGTATAAATATTTCTCGGGGCTGGAGAGATAGCTCAGTGGTTAAGAACACTGACTGCTCTTCTAGAAGACCTGGGTTCAGTTCCCAGCACCCACATGGCAGCTCACAACTGTCTGTAATTCCAAGATCTGACACCTTCACACAGACACACATGCAGGCAGAACACCAATGCACACAAAATAAAAATAAATGAAAAAAAAATATTTCTCTAAATTGTCCAAACTCAGGCTGGGAATGTATGTAGTTCAGTTGGTAGAGCTCTTCTCTAGCACGTGATGCCCTGGGTTCTATCTGCAGCCCCACTAAATAAATATATAAACAAACTGTACCTAATGGTGCCTTTAATGTTAGGCAAATTGTAACTCAATTGCAAACAAAACAACTGTTGTCCTTTTAAACAGGGTCTCATGTGGCCCAAGGTGGCCTGGACCTCCTGACCCCCTACCTCCACCTCTCCAATAATGGAGTTACAGGTGTGTACCACCACCACACCGTGTTCGTGCAGCCTTGCTCTAGCTCTCCACCTTGAGCTACACTCCCAGGCCAGTAAGAGTGCTTTTTAAAAGACAATACCGATCATATTTTGTATTTGTTTCAACAGACACAAAAAAAGTTTCAGTATTTCATTGTTTGAAACAGGGTCTCCTGCAGTCCAAGCTGGCCTCAAACTCCTGATTCTCCCAAGGACTATATATCACACACATATATATAATATATATATTATAGATATATAGATATATTATATCTATATATCTATAATATATATATAGCCTATATATCACCGTGGCGGGGCAATGCCTAAGTGTTCAAATGCTTACTGTAAAGTCCTGTATAACTTTTCCTCCCAGGCAGTAAGGGCAGTCTGAAATCGGCTGCTGTCCAAGGAAGACCCCACTTTGCCAACTACTGTGTTCTCTGGTAGGCCTCCCTGCCAACCTCGGGCGGGAAGCTGGAGGAAGGGCAAGGCTGGAGCTGGATACACATCACGCAGAGGAGAGCTGCAGGCCGGTATGGGCAGGCTGAAGACATGACGAGGGTTGCATGCCTGGGCAGTGCAAAGTCATGGGTGGGCGCGTGCGTGGGGGCTCACGCGCGGGGCGGGGGGGGGGGGGCGGGAGGGAACACCCAGCTTACTGGGAGCCGAACACCGGCCTGCGCTGCAAGCGTAGCACGCCGTAAGTGTTGAGTCCCGGCACGTCGAAGCCTGGCGCCAGACCGTGGCGATCCAGTGGGTAGAAACGCACCAGCTGCCCGTGCTGCGCCTCCAGAGACAGCCAGGCATCTGCGAGCGGCAGCGTGCATGGGAACTCGCGCGCCACGTGCAGCTGGAAGACGCGGCCGCGCACGTGGCGCAGGGCGAGCGATCGGAAGGCAGCAGGCACGAGCGCCTCCACGCGCGGCCCAAACTGGCGCAAGCGCAGCTCGCCCCGCGGCCCCGCGGCACGCACCTCGTAGAAGGTGCGGTTGGCGAAGGTGAAGAAGCCAGAGAACGGGCGCGCGCGGGGCGGGGGCGCGGGGGCGCGGTCAGCATCGCGCAACGCGCGCTCCAGAGCAGGCAGCAGCGTGTCCAGAGCGTCGGCTACCAGGTCGCCCGTGGGTGGGCGCGGCCCAGCCAGCAGCAGCACAAACCCTAAGCGCAGCGGTGGCACGAGTGCCAGGCTGGCGGCGTAGCCGTCCAGGTCGCCGTCCTTGCGCGCCACTCGGTATCCGCGCCGCTCGTGGAACTCCCAAGGTGTGCCGGTTTCGCGAGCGAAGTAGCCGTGGGCACAGGCGCGCAGCGGTGACAGCAGTGTGGCCAGGCTGTCGGGCCGCAGCAGCCGTCGGGGCCCTGCACCCAGTAGCGCGGCCGCCAGCCTGGCCAGGTCTGCAGCCGTCGAGTACATCTGGCCGGATGGCCGGTACCAGCCCAGATCATAGAGTGGCGCGGACCGGCCGCTGCCATAGAAGCCGGCAGCCAGGCGAGAGCGCACAGCTCCGGTCAGTGCAAAGCCAGTATCGCTCATCCCCAGCGGCTCCAGGACCTGCTCAGATACCCAGCGTTCGTAGTCGCCCTGTGCCGTGTGCGCAGCCAGCACATGGGCCAGGAGCGAGAAGGCCAGTGTGCTGTAGTGGCATCTGGAGGGGGAGAAGGGGGCATCGGGATGGAGTCCTGGATGTGATCGCCAGGACAGTGTGGTGGCACCAGGAGGGAAAGAAAACTACAGTCCACTATTTGGAGAAGCAGAGGGAAATTTGGCCCAGGGTGGCAGAGGAGCGCCGGCTGCCTCTGTCTGATGTGTGTTGTCTGTCCCCCAACTCCCTCCGTCCACCCCCACCCCCCCCCACCCCCGCCTCGCCAAACTCTCAAGGCTACACTTCTTGTTCTTGTTCAGTGGTCAGCCCTTTATCTGCACACCATTATCCATCGTGGTGAAATCTTCACTGTGTGTCCCTCATCGGTGCACACTGTAGGAAGGGACCTTGGTCAGGTGTTGGCTGGTATATCCAGCGCTCAGCAGGTTCTCGGTAGAGTGGTTGCCTTGATTGCTTTTTGTGTCTTGTTTGTTTTTAGACAACCTCATTGTGTAGCCCAAGCTGGCCTCCATTTCTCTATCCTCCTGCCTCAGCCTCCTGAGTGTTGGGATTACAGATGCGCACAACCACGCCATCCCCAGAGCAGACGCTTAATAAACAATACAGTTGATGAGGGGCTGGGAGACTGGAGCAGACCTGGGTTCTGAGCCTAGATCTTGCACGCTTTGCTGTGCCTGCCCCTCCTGGCCTCAGTCTTTCTGGCTGTAGGATGGACTCTATTCCCAGAACCCTGCTAACACTGACCATCTGGGGGAAGCACTTCCTCAAGTGTGGCTAGACTTCAGGGCACACTTCTCACCTGGTTCCTGGGTCAGCCACCAGGACATCATCCCTGAGCAGGCTCAGAGCCTCCTGGGTGCTGCCTTTCCACAGCAGCGAAGTGCCCCGCAGCCTTCGGGGAAGTCCTAGGGAAGAGCAGTGGTCAGACCCGCAGGAGCTGTGCTTTGCTGGGGAAGTCCCTTCCCTAGACCGCCACCAAATCACCTTTCCTCACATTTTCCCCGCCCCCCTGTCGGCCATGATTTCCCCTTCCTGGAAGCAAACTGTTTTCATCTCTTTCTTCTCTCTGCGCTGGGTTTGCAGGCAGGTGCCACCCGAGATGGCTCAGAGGTTAAGAGCACTGGCTGCTCTTCCAGAGGTCCTGAGTTCAATTTCCAGCAACCACATGATGGTTCACAACCATCTGTAATGAGATCTGGCGCCCTCTTCTGGCTTGCAGACATACATGCAGGCAGAACACTGTATACATAATAAATAAATAAATCTTAAAAAAAAAAAAAAAAAAGACCAGTCCTTCCAAAGGCATTTAACACATCTTGAAATATTTCATATTTAGGGCTGGCAAGATGGCTTATCCGGTAAAGGTGCCTGCCGACAAGCATGACTCCTTGAGTTCAATCCCCAGAACCCATGTGGCAGTTAAGAGACAACAAACTCCCCTGACATCCACCTAGGTCTTATGGTGTGCACGTGACCACACACACAAACAAAAAAATGTAAAAAAAATTAATATTTATATAATGCACAGCATGTTATATAATCATGTGTATTACACATGCCTCGTATATAAACATGTTTTTATAATTAGTATGGTTATGTAGTCTTTATATAATTTTTATGCTCATTTCTGTAGCAGCATACAATACATGTACTTTTCTCCTACTTATTTCCTATCAGTAAACAAAGAACCTCATTTAGAGCAGTAGTTCTCAACCCGTGGGTCGAAACCATTAGAAAACATATTTCCCATGACCTTAGGAACTGAGATACCACTCAGTTATGTAATTACTTCATAATTACAGTCATAAAGTAGCAACAAAAATAATTTTATGGTTGGGGGTCACAACATGAGGAGCTGTGTTAAAGGGTTGCAGCATTAGGAGCATTAGGAGGGTTGAGAACCACTGACTTAGAGCTGTATGGTATTTGATTGCATAGCCATTCCCCTAGTGATGAACATGTAGTTATTTCTTCTTGTTTTGGTGTTTTGAGAGGGTCTCATAAGAGCCCAGGCTGGCTTTGAACTCACTATGTAGCCCAGGGTGATCTTGAACTCCTGATCCTCCTGCCTTCCTCTTGGAAGTGCTGGGCTACATGTATGTACCCCCACACCAGCTCCTCTTGTTACTATAAACACTATACGGCGAATAACTGTGAATATGCTTTATGCTACCCAGAGTGACCACATCTGCAGTAGAATTTTCTAGGAGTGAAATTTCTCAAAGGGAATATATACTTTTTTCTTTGTTGCTGGGGCTCAGCCCAGAGCTTTTCACATGCCAAGTACACACTGTATTGCTGACCTCTAGCCTAGGTGTGGTGGCAGCACTCAGGAGTGGGAGGCAGGAGGATCACTAGTTCAAGGTCCTCTTCAGCTACATAGAGTGTGAGGAAAGCCTGGACTACTTGAGACCCTATCTCAAAAAGACAAGAAAACGATTGCAGGAAATATTTGAATTTGCCTTCATACAGGTTTTATCCATTTGTTTGTTTATTGGGGGGTGTCTTAGGGTTTCTCTTGCTATGATGAAACACCATAACCAGAGCAACTTGGGGAGGAAAAGGTTTATTTGGCTTACACATCACAATTCAGGGAAGCTGAGGCAGGAATTCAAACAGGGCAGGAACCTGGAGGCAGGAGCCGATGCAGAGGCCATGGAGGGGAGCTGCTTACTGGCTTGCTCAGCCTGCTTTCTTATAGAACCAAGGACAACTAGCCCAGGGGTGGTGCCACTCACAATGGACTAGGCCCTCCCATATCAGGCTTGTCTACCACCAGATCTTATGGAGGCATTTTCTTAATTGAGGTTCCTTTCTCTCAGATGACTTTAGCTTATGTCAAGTTGGCATAAAACTAGCCAGGACAGGGGTGTTAAATTTAAATCAATTTAAATTCCCTCCACTGGTGTAGATGAGGACATTGTCTCCATGGTTTCCCCCCAGTCAGGGCACCCACTGTTCGGTCTTTGCCAGTCTGACAGGAAGACTGTGTCTCAATGTAGTTTTCATGTGCATGTGTGTTTTGATGAACAAGGGTTGGCATCTTTTTTTTTAAAATTTATTTATTATGTATATAGTATGCCTGCAGGCCACAAGAGGGCACCAGATCTCATTATTGATGGTTGTGAGCCACCATGTGGTTGCTGGGAATTGAACTCAGGACCTCTGGAAGAACAGCCAGTGCTCTTAACCTCTGAGCCATCTCTCCAGCCCGGGTTGGCATCTTTTAATATTCACAGAGCCAGGTCAGGTCATTCCCTGTCCTTCACCTATGTCCCATGTGGGCTGTGGCTTTCCACATGTTCTTTATATGTGTATTCAGGGAGTCTGGGTCTTCACTGTAGACCTCCCTACCGGACTTAACTTGTTGCCTTGCCCTTGGCATGATACACAGATCCTGACTCAGTTGTCTGTGAACTTGTTTCTCTGCCTGATCTGTGTTCCCAGGTTCAGGCCAGGAACAGAGCATGGCTGGTGTAGTGCTCGCTTAGCATGTGTTCCTTCCCACAACAACATAGACTGGATGTAGTGGCACTTGCCTGTAATCTTAGCACTCGGGAGGTAAAGAAAGAAGGACCAAAAGTTTACGGTCATCCTGAGCGACAGAGTGAGTTTGGAGCCAGCCTGTGTTGTGGGATGGTCTGTATGTCAAATGTGTTGTTGATTGGCCAATAAATAAATCACTGATTGGCAGTGGCCAGGCAGGAAGTATAGGCGGGACTAACAGAAAAGAGAATTGAGAAAACAAAAAGCTAGGTGAGAGAGACACTGCCAGCCGCCATCAGGACAAGGAAGATGTAAAGTACCGATAAGCCACAAGCCATGTGGCAAGGTATAGATTAATAAAAATGGATTAATTTAAGCTGTAAAAACAGCTTAAGCCTGCCATCGCCATACAGTTTTTTTTTTTTTTTTAAAGAGATTGGCTATTTTTTTTAAAGATTTATTTATTATGTATACAGCATGTATGACCAGAAGAGGGCACCAGACCTATTACAGATGGTTGTGAGCCACCATGTGGTTGCTGGGAATTGAACTCAGGACCTCTGGAAGAGCAGTCAGTGCCCTTAACCTCTGAGCCATCTCTCCAGCCCGGCCATACAGTTTTATAAGTCTCTGTTTACTTGGTCGGGTTTGAATGGCTGAGGGACTGGCGGGTGTCAGAGATTTGTCCTGACTGTGGGCCAGGCAGGAAAACTCAAACAACAAGCCTGGGCTACAAGAGACCCTGTCTCAAATAAAATGAGTCCCAGTGCTGGAGGGATGGCAGCCAAAGCTGCTCTTCCAAAAGACTCAAGTTCGGTTCTCAGAACTTACCTGTGGCTCCAGCAGGGGCGGATCCGATGCACACCCCTGTGGACACCCGCACACATACAGCATCTGTGGACACCCGCACACACGTGGCATATACTCATGCACACACACACACACACACACATTTTTAAAAGAAGTTAAAAGCACCCCAGGCTTACTTCAGTTCTTTCTACCATTGGTCATCACTGCCTGTGGGTTGGAAGTATGGCCATTCAGGAACCAGAGCAGGGTCCTAGTGGATGGGAATCTGTGTCCTGTGCCTATCCCCAAGCCCCTCTGATGCGAATTGGCTCAGCTGGGCAAGTCTGAGGCTCACCTGACAGCTGACTGGCCATCCTCCGCAGAGTGACAGAAGAAGGCCTCGGGAGGGAGCCCATCTCTTCAAGCTCCCCCACTGGGCCCTGTGGTTCTGGGTCTTGGGCCTTGCCCAGCGGGTTGTTGATGGAGAAGGTGCTGGCATAGCGTTCCAGAGGGTCGTCCAGGGAGGCCACGATGCCCTCCTCCCACAGGCGATACAGCATAAGCACGGGGAAGATCTTGGAGATGCTGGCAATCCTGGGGTGGGGTGTAGGAGAACAGAGGGCAACCTGTCAACCTCACGGCCCACTCCCCACACTGTGCCCAGCCTCCAGCTTTTCATAGTCAAGAGTCCACCCTAGTCTGCATCTCCAGCTGAATCCCCAGCCTCTGAAGAGAGCCTTGGATGTTTAGAATGTACCAGAAGCTGGGATAGGATGAACAGTTCTGCTCCTGCCCCATGCTAGGCCTTTTACCAAGCCCCATTTGTGGGGCGGACCTGGATTTAGTGAGTCCTATCTCTCACTGATTGTGTGGCCTTGGGTAGGTTACTAGACCTTTCTCAGAGTTTGGCTGTTGGTTTCATGGGGTATAATGGGGTAGGAGATATGCGCGCACGTGCATACAGGTATACGCGTGAGTGTGTGTGTGCACGCATGCGCTCACAGAGCACTCAGAATGGCAGACAGGTGATGAATATGCAGTAAGCAAGACAAATAGAACCCTGAGCCGGGCGGTGGTGGCACACACCTTTAATCCCAGCATTCGGGAGGCAGAGCCAGGTGGATCTCTGTGAGTTCAAGGCCAGCCTGGGCTACAGAGTGAGTTCCAGGACAGGCACTAAAACTACACAGAGAAACCCCGTCTTGAAAAAAAAAAAAAAAATAGAACTCTGGGTGTTGTGTCTAGCACCACAAAGGTGCAGCGTGAGGCTAAATTCCATCAGACCCTGAAGTCCCCACAGCATCCCCGGGATCAAATGTGTCCACTGTTGCAGCTTTGAGGATTCTGCAGACAGCACCTGAGAGGAGAGACTCTGGGAGTGCTTCCAACTGGGCCATGGAGCTGATTGTCACTCCTAGGTGGCACACTGAGAGGTGAGGCGATGGATCCTTTCCTCATTTGGCCTGTGGTCCCTGTGGTGTGACACTGGGCACTCATGCTTCCTGGTTTTCTCTGGACCTCTGTCTCCTACAGAGTGATCAGGCCTGAGCCATAGGCCCTGGCAGCTGGGACCCCAGCCACAATCCTCTTGAATGTCCCTGCCTCCTGGAGGTCACCCCACTAACCGGTACATAGTATACTCATTAGGGGTTCCAGAATTTGGATCTGAGCCATTCTTCCTTCCGAAGTTCCCAGTCCAGAGCACGGTGTCGTTGTGGATGACAAGAGCGGACATGGCAGCCAGGCCTGGGGCCAGCATGGCCTTGCGCAGAATTCCATCCACCTGTGGGAAAAGAAGAGGAGCTCAGAATGAGGCCCCTGCCTCAGCACACCCACCTCTCCCCACAGCTGTCACACCCCCCACAGTACCCTAGGAGCCTCCAGACCTTGCGACCCCAGCACCACGCCCCTGTGAGGGCCTGACTCAGCAGCCTCTCTCCCACCTGTTTTAGATAGAGGTTCCCTAAAGGATTTTTTGTTTTGCGTGTGTATGATGTTCGTGTGTGTGTGTGTGTGTGTGTGTGTGTGTGTGTGTGTGTGTGTGTGTTTTCTGTTCACATGGGAGGGGTGCACACGTGTGCAAGTGATATAGAAGCTGGAAACTGACATTGGGTGTCTAAATCACTCTTCATCTTTATGTATTGGATCAGGGTCTCTCACTTGAGCCTAAATTCACCAGTTCAGCTAGTCCAGCTAGCCATCTTGGTCTAAGGGAATCTTCTCTCCACCCAAGCCCTGGGATTACAAGCAGGCCACACATACCCAGCATTTACACCCGTGCGGAGAATCTGAACTCTGGTCCTCATTTTTGCACAAACCACTGAGCCATCTCCCAAACCCCTCTACTTAATCAGCTACCAGACACCTTGCCCCTCGGCTTTACCTGCCCTGTGCATCTCCCTAAGTCGGTCTTTTGGGGCTCAGTTTCACTGGTGTAGTCAAGGATTCCCTAGACATGCACACCAAGGGGTCACACAGCCCATGGCTGATACCACAGTGCTCGGAGGGAGGAGGCTGCTTTGTCATTGAGTCCTGTGACCCTGGGTCGTACACTATATTGGTAAGTTGTCGTGTGTTATTTGAGCTCACTGAGAAGCTGGTTGTGGAAGTGGGCTTATCTCCTCCACCATTTTGGACTCAAGCATGTTTGTCTCAAAGTGTCTCCCAAGACCCTTTACCGGGGGATGGGCTGCCTTCCCTTCTCCAGTAAGGGATTAAGAGCAGCAACTCAGTCCAGGAATAAACACAATATGGCTTTGGCAACACTAGAAAAGACGCTGTCGTTTATCTTGGGGTATGAAACTTCTGCGAACTTGCCGCCCTTCTCCTTCTGCTGGTCCTCAGAGAGTGCACAGCTGCCCAGATGTTTTTGACCCTGACCCCTTTGTCTCTCTTCTCCTAAGGTGAGTGACCCACACAGCAGAAGCTGACTGGCACCAAGGAGAGCCATCGTGATGTGGTGCAAGTTGTGCCCTGGTGTGTACACCTGTGTGTGTGTGTGTGTGTGTGTGTGTGTGTGTGTGTGTGTGTGTGTATGCACACACCCATGCATGTGCTTGACCATATTACAGTGGCCTCTGTGGCACGGACTCTGTCCCTCTTTCCCACCTCCCTGTGTGCCCTGTGCTCACTGCACTGCCCCCGGGCCTTTTCACATGTTGATCCCACTGTTGGGAGTGTACTCCCACATCCTTCAAGCTTCTTTACATCATGGGGGATCCCCTGCCCACATCTCAGCCTGGACCATGCAGGGCCCTGCCAGCCTCCAAGACCTTACACCTCAGCCGCAAAGTCCCAAAACTTTCCTAATTGTGGTAGTTTGAATGTAGTTGGCCCCCATAGGCTCATGGGGAGTGGCACTATTAAGAGGTGTGGCTTTGTTGCAATAGGTATGGCCTTGTTGGAGTGGGCTTTGAGGTCTCATGTGCTCAAGCCACACCCAGTGCCCCAGACCACTTCCTGTTGCCTGTGGGATCAAGATATAGCTCCTTCTCCATTCACCATGTCTGACTGCACGCTGCCACGTCCTGCCATGATGATAATCGACTAAACCTCTGAAACTGTAAGCCACCCAGTTGAATGTTTTCCTTTATAAGAGTTACTGTGGTCATGGTGTCTCTTCACAGCAGTAGGAACCCTAACCCTCCCCGCCACCTCCAAGACAAGATTTTTCTGTGTAGCCTTGGCTGTCCTGGAACTCCTGCCTCTACCTCCCGAGTGCTGGGCTAAAGGTGTGGACCACCACCCGAGGCTCCTAATCTTCACTCTTGTCCCTGAATCAGAAATAGGTGTTATCTTAACTGCTTCCTTCACCTACAGACTAACTCGGAGTCAGTCTCTCCCTGCCCCCTCTTAGAACTCACCATATAGCCCAGGCTAGCCTCAAACATGTAATGGTCCTCCTGCCTCTGCCTTCCAAACACTAACATTCTAGGCACAGAACAGGCACTCAAGAAATTCATGTTGAAAGCTGGGTGTAGTAGCTCACACCTTTAATCTAAGCACTCAGGAGGCAGAGACAGGTCGATACCTATGAGTTCAAGGCCAGCTTGGTCTACAAAGCAAGTTCCAGGCTAGTCAGGGCTACTACGAAGGGAAAACATGTAGAAAACCAAAACCAACCAAACAAAAAAGCATGCTGAGTGAATGAATGAATGAGTGAATGAGTGAATGAATGAATGCCACAGCACAGAAAGCAAAATCCCTCCTCTGCCATGCTTTACCACATTCCCAGCAACCTCCTGGGCTGTCTACCACTAACCTTCTCCAAGGCCTCCTTCAGCACCGGAAGGGGGTGAGCCAGAGGCACAAGCTCAGGGTGCCGGGGACACATCTTCACTGGGGCTGGGGTCACCTCTGGCTTCAAGGAACCTAGAGGGTGTATCAGGAGGTGAGTACAGAAGACGTCAAGTCAAGGGCAAAGGGACATCGTAGAGGACAGGAAGGCTGCAGCAAAGGCCAGAGCCATGCCTTGGAGGCCCTCCCACCAGCAGGAGGCTTCCCAGAAAATGTTCAGTCATGGGCCAGCCAAGGGACCAAGGGCCAAGGCATAGTGTCACCTTCAGGATTGAGTCCCTTCAGGTCTCAGCTACTGGTCCCCACCCTCCCTTCCTCCTGACAGGCTCAGCCTCGCCCATCCATCTATCCATCCATCCATCCATCCATCTATCCATCCATCCATCCATCTGTCCATCCATCTATACCTCAAGCTAGTTTTGAATGTTTGGGTGACTTGAACTTGAAACCCCACTGGGGCTTCATGCCTGAAGCAGCAGGGACAGCTTATTCTGTTCCCAGAACTGAATGCAGGCGTTGGTCATGGAGCAAGTCTCATCTGTCCTTGTCCAGGGAGTGGCCGTCATCACATGGACAAATCTGGGAAACCAGCCCTGAGAGCACAAGACCCGAGGGAGGCTCCGATCCCAAGTGACTTGCATTGAAGAGAGCAGGTTAGACCAGCAGCAGAACTGTCAGTCGGGCCCCAGGACGTGAGAAGTAATCAGCTGGTGAGTTTGGTGTGTTTGTTTATTCCCTTGCAGTGCTGGGGATAGACCCCAGGGCCTTGCACCCTGTAGGCAAGTGTTCGACAGACACCAAACTACATCGCTAGCCCTGGGGTGGTTTATTCCTTACGCGGATAAATAAGTAGATGGTGGGGGTTTGGCCGTTGGAGTTAAGTCTTGGCTAGAGCCTTTGTCAGCTTGGGACCTGGGTGGGTCTGGCATCTGTAGCCAGACAGAAGACACCTGGGAGTCTCAAAATGTGTGATGAAGGTAGCAAGTCTGGGTAGGGCCTGAACGTGCCCACGTTTGGGCGGGGCTTGGGGGTTGCCACAGCATGAGCGTGGGGGTCAGAGACCAAGTCTATGGAGTCAGTTCTCTCCTTCGACCTTCACATGGGTTCTGGGGGTTGAACTCAAGCCATCAGGCTTGTTTGGCAAGCGCCTTTACCGGCTGAGCCATCTCACCAGCCTCTGTTGAGCTTCTCAGGAACCCCGAGTTGACCCCCAGGCTGCGTGACTTGTGAAACCCTGAATAGGATTCTCACTTTGTTTATAAGAGCTTGAGCAAGCCCAGGGAGCTCTTGTGACCCGGCCAGAGACGGACAGTGTGATGTGGAGTGAGGAGATCTCTGCTCCTGAGTTAAAATCACTCTCACATCCTTGGCTGTTCCAGGCCCAGCGAGGACCCATGCCCTCGGGGTGGGAGTGAGTGGCTTCTTCACTCACCGCTCTGCAGCTTGGGGAGGTGGTACTGCCATAGGAAGCAGCCAGTCATGGCCACTGAGAACAGGAAGAGGAAGCCACTGAGGGTCCGCAAAAACCATTTCTTTTTCCCTTTTAGGAGACGGGGCTGGTAGCAGGCCTGAAGAAGCAAAAATACAGGTCATGGACTCCAGAGTCAACAGGAACAGGATGGTACCCTCACTGCAAAGCTGTAAAGCTGAGGGCCTCCTCAGCTCTCCATGTCTGATCTGGCACAGATGCCCTCACCCCACCTCACTTCACCTCATACGTGCTTATCAAGATATCCTGACCCCCACTGAAATGCCACCTCCTCCAGGAAGTCTTCCCCAACTCTCCTCACCTGTGTGCCTCCCAAGGCTACACCCATAAGGGAAAGCAAATCCAAGTTCCTTAGTGTAGAACAGTGCCATACCTCCCCACCCCACCCACTGTCAGCTGACCTCCCTGATGGGAGAGCCCTCCACACCAGGGGCACCTGTCCACTTTCTGGTCTGCAGCCTTCGGTGTGCTGGTTACTCAGTACATGCCGGGGGTGTGCACAGTGCGGACCTTGCCACACCCCACTTCCAGGGTACCTGCCTCTCCCGCACCTCCAGGTTCCTGATCTTGAACCTAGGATAGAACACCCAGCAGGCATGCCTGAAGCCCCCAGCCTATGGGTACTGCTCAGTGTGGTGGATGGTTCTAGAAAGCTATTCATAGCATCCTATCACCACGCCACTCTTCCAAAACAGGTAGAAAAGCCCCTATGATGAACAGAATGAAGCTAGGACACCCCTGCTCCTGTGGGACCCCACAGGCTCACTAGTTCACTGAACTACGCTTGGGTAGGACCATTTCTTTGGTCTGTCATTGGTGCTTTTTCTGGGGTGAATAGACATCTGTTCAAGTCTCCCCAAGAAATGATATAACAGTAGTCACTCCATTCTGCCCAGTTCTCAACCCTTGAATCTGACAAGATGGCTTACATCTAACAGGGTCTCTTCCTTGTCCGTGTCCTGGCAACACCTTTTTCCTGAGCGGCCACTAGGCACGAGGCACTGTACCAGGTTCCTGGGGTGGGGCAGGGAGTCAGCTTCAGGGATCTCCACGCTCATGGAGCTGCTACCCAGGCAGTGCCTGCTGCCTGTGATTCTTGTGGGTGCAGAGCACCTAGGACACTTGGCTTTCTGACTCGGTCATTCTCACGCAGCGGTAACAGCCACTATATACACAAGCTGGTCCTGTCCTAAGAGTTTTATCGGCATCCCTATACTTAATCCTTGTACCTCAACGCAAGCGGCTACTGTTACTTTCCCGCCGCTCAGGAAATGCTTTGGAGCTAAAGCATTTAATTCCGTACTGCACGTTAAAAGGTCAAAATTTAGCCCTGCTGCCTCTGTCCATTGAGACCCTAGACAGCACTCCCCCGGGGTGGGGGTGGGAGTGGGCTCTTCATCGTGAAGGAGATGGTGGAATTCTCTGTTGAATCTTTTGTTTGTTTGTTTGTTTTTCAAGGTTTCTCTGTGTAGCCCTGGCTGTCCTGGAACTTGCTCTGTAGACCAGGCTGGCCTCGAACTCAGATATTACGCCTGCCTGGAATTAAAGGCATGCATCACCACTGCCCCAGCCAAATCTTTATTTTTATATCTGGAAATCCCACTGGGCTTCAGATTTTTTTTTACCTCTAGATCTTGGGGTCCATATAGAACCATTCTTTATTGAATTTCTCTGTGTGTGTGTGTGTGAGTGCATGTGTGTGTCGTGCACACGTAGAGGTCAGAAGCCAAAATCAGGCGCCTTCTTTTTTATTGCTTTCCACCTTGTTTTTTTGAGGCAGGGTCTCTGCCTGGGACATGAGGCTCAGGGGCTAGGCAAGGCTAGCTGGCAAGAGAACTCAAGATCTACCTGTGTCTGCCCCCCAACACCGGGATTGCAGGCGCACACCACTGCACCCCAGCTTTTTTACGTAGTACTGGGGGTTGAACTCGGGTCCTTGCTTGTACATCAAGCACTTGACTGACTGAGTCATCTCCCGACCTACTTACAAGTTTTCAAAGGCCTGAATCAACCCAAACGTCCTTCAATGATGAATGAGAAAAACAAATTATGGTCCATGCATCCATGCAATGGAATGTTATATAGCCACGTAAAGAATAGAGTATTGATTTATACAGTAACGTGAGTGAATCTCAGATGCATGGTGCTATGTGAAACACGCCAGAAAGGGCGACACTCCAAAGGGTGACAGACCTGCAACATCACTCGTATAACACGCCGGAAAGGGCGACAAACAGAACCCGACTTTGGCTCTGCACCCTCCAGCTTGGGACAGACCTCACCCCTTGGAGCCTGACAACTGCCCCTCCCCCTGATAGAAGCCCCCAGAAAGCTGCGCAGGAAGCATGGACCGGTGAACAGTCCTGTGATAACAAGTGTTAGCACAGCTATCATCATTGCTGTGCTCGCTCCGCAGAGAGACAGGCAAGGGCAGAGGCTCTGGTGAGGGGTGCCGGTGAACCAGCCCAGGGTGGGAAGGAGGCTGGAGTCACTGAGCAGGTGGCTGGGGAGGAACCGGGATGCTGACAGAGATGATGTGTGATGTGTGATTTCCGGTTTGAGCCTCACCCGAGTCTTCATCCTCCCCAAGGCATGGAAGATCCCAGCTCCTTGAGGATTCAGGCCGGGAGCCCAGGAGACCCTGTGGGCAGGAAAATGCAAAAGGAGGTGGGAATGGTGGGGAGACAGGGCCTGGAGAGATGGCTCAGGGCTTAAGATCACTGACTGCTACTCCAGAGGATCCGGGTTCAGATCCCTGCACCCAAACTCACAACTGTCTGTAACCCCAATTCCAGGGCATCTGACCTCCTCCATGGGTACCAGCTATACACATGATAAAAACAGACATGTGGGCAAAACACTCATACACATAAAAAGGGGGGAGGTCCTGGGAGAAAAGGGGACAGAGAATAACTAGAAAAAGGGGTGAGATTTAAATGTTAGGGAAAGAGGGCCATTCCCAAGCTCAGAAGCTCCATCACAGTACCCAGTCGCCCAGACCTGTCCTGGTTTTTGCACTGGAAGACCCAGATTCCCCAAACCCTCCTATCTCAGACAAACCTAGACCGATGGGCACCCTGTCTTCTCCAAATCTACCAGCAGACCCAGGCATTTAATCCCAGGTCTCCTTCCCAGCCTGCCTCACAACGACCTGCCCCAGATTCTCACATCTTACCCACTTCCAGAAGGATCCAGTAGGCCCCACAATGCAGGTCTTTCACAGGGTTCCCCGTGTTCCAAGAGACAGGAGAGTCCTTCTGGGTTCTCAGCGTGGGCTTTACCAAATGCCCAGAGGTGACAGATGTGGCCCTCAATTCTCCAGTGCTAATCCCCCTCCCACCCTGCCCTCTGCCTAGAGGATTAGCTCCCAGAAGCTCCAGCAGCAGGGAAGCTGGGCACATGTGCCAGAGTGCTGGATACTCCATGTGACCTCAGAAGCTATAGATTGGGGGGGCGGGGGAGTGACTCTCCCTCCAGGAACCTCTGTGGGCCCAGGGTAGAGAAGAGGTGACAAAGGACGGCCACCAGGATCCGACCCACAGGCCTCTAAGCCCCTTTCGAGCCAGTTCGCCCGTCACCTCTGAGGAGCATAGGGTGAGGCCTTACTATGCAATGTTCAGGAGCACCATTGTGACCTGGGAGCGGCACTCTCTTGGTTTCTTTGTAAATGAGGACAATAATAACCTCACCTAAGAAGCAGCAGGGTGTTGTAAAGCAAGAAGCCTGGGTCCTGGCTCCCTAGAAGGGCTCTGCCAAGGCTGGTTCTCTTTGGTATCAAACCCCGGACCTGATCCTAAGGCGGATTTTAGACTTTTCTTAGTGGACTTTCTGGAATGTCAGAGGACAACTTGCAAGAGTTGGTTCTCTCTTCCCACTGTGTGGGTCCCAGGGATTGAACTCAGGTCGTCAGGGCTTGACGGCAGCACCTTTACCTGCCCAGCCATCTCGCAGGCCCTGTCTGTGTCTTTGACCTGCACTGCAGCTGCACAGAGCAGAATCAATTTCATCACACCTTCCATCCTGACGTCCAGAGATGTGAAGTTTCCAGAAGTGCCAGGGCTAAGGTTGGAGCACAGGAGCCCCCCTGGCAATCTGACCGACCATGAGGTCCTCCAGGGCAAGCATAGCATGTCAAAGCTAGGGCTGATGATCTGAGTCAGCTCACTGCAGGACCTGCAAACCTCCCCTTCGGGACACCCACCAGTCTTCTGCGGTGCTCCTTCTGGATACCTGACTTGACCCAGCTCTGGAATCGGCTACTTCTCACCTGCAAGCCAGGGTTATTCCCAATTCAGCCGGATGAGAACCCACACCATGTCATACAGCAATATCACCACTAGGTGGCAGCAGACGTACATGGGTAAGAGCTCGGTCCCAGCTTGCTCCTGTATTTTACTAGAGAATTGCTCTTCAAGTTCTGTACTCACGAAACAGAGGATCTCACACACACACACACACACACACACACACACACACACACACACACACACACACACACACACACACACACACACACACACACACACACATCAGTCAGGAAGGGAGGAATTATCTATCCTCTTTCTGCATTTTTCTTTTTAATTATATATTTGTGTGTATCGTGTATATAGCTTTGTGCACATAAGTGTAGTGCCCTGTGGAGTTCAGAAGAGGGTGCCATATCCCCTGGAGATGGAGTTACAGGTAGCTGTTAGCTGTCTGTTCTGGGTTCTGGGAACCAAACTCAGGTCCTCTGCAAAAGCAGCAAGTGCACCACAGAGCCCCACCCTCACCCCCCACCCCCCACCCCCACCCCTCACTCCCCACATCCCACCCCCTCCCCGCTGTCTCTTGATTTTGGGGGAAATGTAAGTTCCCTTGACCACACAGTTTAGGCTCCACCCATTGCAGGACCCTCGGGCCAGACCGCAGAGTTCAAACCCCAGCGGTGCTCCTTAGTAATGGTGTGACTTTGATCAGATACCGTCTTTTCTTGGACCTCGGCCGTGCATGGGTGATTGAAGACACTGCCCTAGTGGTGTGGGAGCAGAAGCTGAGTAAGACAAGGGTCACGGGTAGAGCAGGTGGGGCCCGCTACATACCAGGAGTGCCCGAGGAAGTCACTGTAATTATCACTCCTTTTGTGGGCCTCTTCTCAGCGGGGAGATAAACTGCCTTTCTCTGAGCTTCACAGCTGTCTTTTAGTTTTATTTTCTATAAACTTCGTCCTTTTTTCAAAAAGTTTAAAATTTTTACATCTGTTTATTTTTGGTGGGGGGCCTGCCGTCGTGCACGTGGAGGTCAGAGGACAACTTGTTGGCGTCGATTCCCTCTCTTGCCATATGGATTCTAATGACCCAACTCAGGTCGTGAGGCCTGGGGCAAGGGTCCTTATCCACTACTCAGGAGGCTGAGACAGGAGGACCGAAAACTTACAGCCCGCCAAAAGTCAGCAAACAAGCGCCAGGCTAGCCTGGGCCACTTGGTGAGACCCTGTCTCAAAAAGCACAGGGGTTGGGGAGATGGCTCGGTGGGCAAAGTGCTCGGCCAATCGTGAGGTCTTGAGTTCGGTTCCATGGCACACAGGCCGGGGGGGAGGGGGGGAAGAAGCGGGACGGGACGGCGCAGTTCTGTAATCCCAGCACTGGGAGGCAGACAGGGGCGTTCTCAGGATGACAGTTCGCAGATGCATTTATTTCGCAGCGCTGTGGACACAAACCCTGGGCCTCCGTCATGCTAGGCAAGTGCTGTGCCATCGAGTTACATCCCTAGACTACTTCATGTATTCATTATATACCCGTATGAATCTCCAGTTTTCCCTATCGGATTAAGAACTCTTGTGACCCAATCACTTCACTTTCTTTTTTTCTTTTTTCTTTTCTGAAGTGTTGGGATGGAACCCACGCAGGGCTTCCCACATGCCAGGCAAGTGTTCCACCACTGAGCTCCATCTCCTGAGTCTGTACGTCAGTCACCTCTTCATGGGTGTCAAGCTTCCAAACCATGAGCTGCTTGGGAAAGTTGTAGTAGTACTTTCTCGTCAGGATCGCCAGCGTGCAAATAAAGACATGGACACTTGTTATTAATTATAAAAGCTCAGCCTTGGCTTAGGCTTGTTCCTAACTAGTTCTTATAACTTAAAGTAACCCACATTTTTCAGTCTTTGTTCTTCCACGCAGCTCACTACATCATCTCTGCACTGCCCATCCTGCTTCCTCCACTTCCGGCTGGAGACCCACCTTTCTTCTTCCCAGAGTTCTCTCTGCTCGGAAGTCCTGCCTATATGCTCCCGCCTAGCTATTGACTGTTTAGATTTTTATTACACCAATCACAGCAATACATCTTCACACAGTGTACACATATCCCACAACAGAAAGCATTCAAAGCAGATGTGACTTCTGTGTTGAGTGCTGGCTGGAGTGAAGCTGTCTGTCTGGAGTGAAGCTGTCCGGAGGTGTTGGTTTTGGAAGAGAATGAATTAGGACAGCAGACATGGTAGGTGAGGGATTCCAGGGGAGAAACCACACAAGCAAACACTGAGTGGCAGGGGGGACCTTTGGGGACTGGCTGGTAACCTAAGAGGGTTGCAGGGCATGCCGTGAGAGATGATTGTTTAGGGAGATGCCAGCATGGTTGGGGTCACAATGAGTTCACATAAGGTGGTGGTTTCCCTTCTGGTTCTTCTTAAGAGAATAATTGGGGCTAGTCTCTCCCTCCATATTTGCTTACCTCTTTTATCTCTTGGTATGCCACATGCGTGTGTGTGTGTGTGTGTGTGTGTGTGTGTGTGTGTGTGTGTGTGTGTGTGTGTCAGAGGACAACTTCAGCTGTCTTTCCTCAGCTGCTGTCTACCTTTCTTGTTTTGAAGACAGGAGCTTACCAAGTAGGCTATGCTTGCTGGCCAGTGAGCCCCAGGTACCCCATCTCTGCCTGCCAGCACGGAGATTACCAATGTGTGCCACCATGTCTGGCTCTTGCTCCGTGGGTTCTGAAGACTGAACTCAAGCTCTGCGCCTACTGACAGAGCCATCTTTCCTTCTGCCACTCCCCCGCCCTTTTTTTTTGTAACAGGGTCTCAGGTAGTCCAGGCTAGCTTCAAACTTACTAAGTAGCTGATGACCTTGAACTTCTGATTCTCTTGTCTCTTGTGCTGGAATTACAGACGTGAACCTCGGCACCTAGATTATACAGTGCTGGGGCTCGAACACAGGACTTCATGCATGTTTGACAAGCACTCTACCCACCAAGCTAATTCCCAGGGTCCACTGATAACTTTTAAACTTTTCTTTCATTTATTTAAACTAACGTACAAGAATATAACATTCAAAACATGGGCTGGAGAGATTGCACAGTGGTTTAGAGCACTGGCTGTTCTTCCAGAGGACACGGATCCAATTCCCGGCATTCACATGGAGGCTCACAACTGTCTGTAACTCCAGTTCCTGGGGATCCAATGCCAGCTTCTGGCGTAAAGAGGCACCAGACACAGAGGTGGTGCATGTATACATATGCAGGTAAAATACTCATACATATTTTAAAAAGGAGAAGAAGATAGAATGTAAAGAAGTGTGATGAACTGAAATGAGTTTCCTAGCTGAGATTCCTAGCCACAAATACATGTGGGAAGTTGCATGGAAGGCCCCGACTGTCACTCAGAGCAGTAACAGCTGTATGTTACTACATTCACTCGAACCAGGCACTGGTTAGTTCAGCATCTGCCCCTGCCACGAAGATCTGATGACAAAAAAGAGCTGAGAAACATGTCTAAGGAGCCACCGAACACAAAGTTCAAAAGCACAACTCAGGGCCAGCAAGACATTTGGGGAGGGGTGGGCACGTGCTGCCCAGCCTGACAATCAGAGTTGGATCCTCAGGATGCATGCACACACATAAAAAACTGAAATAAAACGTTTTAAGATTCCTTTTTAAATGTATATGAGTGTGCCTGTGTGTGTATGTGTATCCCACATGTATGCAGGTACCCAGGGAGACCAGAGAAGGGTGTTGGATCCCCTGGAGCTGGAGCTACAGGCAGTTGTGAGCCTCCTGATGTAGGTGCTGGGAACTGGACCCAGGTCCTTTGCCAGACTAGTGTGGTGGCTGATCTTAGTCATCAACACAACACCTGGGAAGAGGGACCGTCAGCTGAAGAACTGGCTCTACCAGGTTGGTCCATGGGCATTTTCTTGATTGCTAACTGATGTATGAGGGCCAGGTTCACTGTGGGCAGCAGCATCTCTGGGAAGTGGGCCCAAGCTTTATAAGAGAGGTAGTTGAGGGCTAGATATAGTGGCACACACCTT